TACTACTACTCTCTCTCTCTCTCTCTCTCTCTCTCTCTCTCTCTCTCTCTCTCTCTCTCTCTCTCTCTCTTTCAGCATAAATAACTCGACACAAATCGTGAGACCAAGTGCTAGTCATTAAAAAATTCCTCTCTGTCTCTCATCGTGGAACGAAGTGCTAGTCATTAAAAAAGTTCTCTCTCTCATCGTGGGACGAATTGCTCTCTCTTTCTCTCTCTCTTTCTCTCTCAAAATCATTGTGAGACAAAGGCAGCGCATTAGAAATTGCTCTTTCACACACATTAGAAAATCCTCACACATTGGAAAACCCTCCCTCTCTCAATCATTGTGAAAAAAAGTGCTACCATTGGAAGTGCCGCCTTTGGGTCTAGACGGACGCCTCCGACTTATTGAACATTGATCCCTTCTTTGGCCTTCTTCAGTAATTTCTTTGAAAAATCAGCAAGCTCTTACATTGATTCCTTGTACCGGTCCTCATGAAACTCAAGCAAGTCAGTAATGTTGAATATTATGGAGACATCCAAGTCACTCGGTGGTTCTATATCATATGCATTTTCCATTGATTTTCCGTATAATGTGGCAATTACAAACTTCTTTTACTCGAGTTCGTTGTATATCTCCAAAGGGAAAATCTCCTTTCATAGCAAAACCACAACAAAGTCTATCTCTTTGAAGGATTTAGCTCTTCAGTGCTTTTCAACAACCTCCTCATATTTCATCCCACTATCTTGAATCTTCTTGCTCACTTGCTCTTGAATGTGGCGAATGTGGCAATGGTACCAAATGAAGAACTTGCTTTGGAACAAACCCATGCACAGTTTCTATAGGAGATTAACAGTGGGTGTACTTACGAGTTATTGTATGCAATTCAGCTTGTGGTAAAGCTAGGCTCTAGTGTGACATGCCCTCCCAACTATCCAGCACAGCAAGTTCCCAATGCTTCTATTCACCACTTCAATTTGGCTATCGGTTAGGGGATGATAGGCACTCGAAAATTGTAATTTCGTCGCTAGACTCTCCGTACGGTCCTCCAAAAATG